GGGGGGGGGGGGGTAGGAGGGCTGCTCAGCTCAGGCCTCCTCTGTGGCACCTTGGCCTCAGATCTCACACTCCTGGGAGACTAGCCCAGTGGCTCAGTTCTCTTTCCTTCTGGAGACTGAGTGGACAGCACAGGGTTCTGCTTGACTTGGGAAGATCTGGATGGATTGGGAAGCCACTGTTTCTCAGCTGCTGAGGGGACAGTAGGGTGTGTATTGGAATCAGAATTGAGTCCAGGAAATTGGGACAACCAAGGAGGTAGAGAAGGGAGACGAAAGAAGACCCCCCCACACACACGGAAAGAGAAAGGTCTACCTTTCTCTTTTGGGCTACTTGGAGAGGGCACTAATTTCGAAGATGATACCTGGGTTGGAGGGAAGGACAGCAGCAAACCAACCACGGGGCCTGACCTGTCTCAGTCCCTGTTTTGCCTCTAGTGCACTCTGTGACCTTGAGCAAGTGACTGACCACTCTGGGATTCAGGTTTATATTTGTATAAAGAGGGGGTTGAAGTAGAATCTATGGTTAGGATCAGAGAGAAGCAGCAGCAAAACAAAGAGCTGTGAAGAAGTGGAGAAGAGAAAAACAGCAGAGGTGTAATGAAACTTTTGAATAGGAAGGGGAGAGCGAGGCAGATTAAAAGAAGTGGTGGGTCATGTATCCATAAGGAGGGGAGAACAAGGAGGAGAGGAAATTAGAAGGGGATTGGCGTGGGCTGTTGAGGGAGTCCCAGGGCCCCCTTTAGGGGAGATGAGTGGGGCTTGAGGTTTCTGGGTTTGTCCTATTCGAGGAACCAGTGTATCATGGGGGCCCCACCTATGAGAGATGAGTCAAAAGTGGGCTTTGTGCTGCAGCATATCCAGCCTCCCGACCACAGGAGTGCAGAGCAAGCAAGGCTGAGGTTACACTGAGCCCGAGCACTGGGCTGGCCTCTCACAGGAGGGTGGAGCCTTCCTTATGTACACGTTTTACACCTGAGGTCACAGGTAGTGGGGAGCAGGGCAGGGTGGTAAATGACTTGGCACCCTACCCCTTCCCCACACTCTGTGCAGAGCGTCAGGATTTGAGTCTAGGTCCAGGCTGAGGAGGAGGCAGATGCTTCATGACCAAGAGTTAGCTGGCCTTTCTCATAGACCACTGATGGGGATGTACACTGGCACCGTCTCCAAGGAGGTTATGTTGGCAATACTTAACAATATTATAAATGATACCTATTTATTGACCTTACACATCCTCTTCCAGGGATTTATCCTACAGATTCACTTGCACACAGGTGAAATGATAAAATATATGAATTTTCACTGCAGCATTATTTACAAAAGTGAACAATTAGAAACAATTTAAATCCCCACCATAAGAGACTAACTACAATATGCTATATCCATGAGATGGAAAACCCTATGCTGTAAAAATGAACAAGGAAGTTCTTAATTTTCTTGGGTATTAGGATCTCTAAGAAAAGTTAAAAGAAAAAAAAATTAAGATGAAAAACTGTGTAAAGCATTCTACCATTTGTAGAAGTCTATCATTTGATTCTACCATTTGAAGAGTGTATATATAGGGTGTTCCCCAAAAATGTATACACGCTTTAACAGCTGACAGCTCAATTTTGAAAATGAAATGTATTTTAATAAACACTACCTTTATAATTATTCAAAGTGTGTATAAAATTTTTGGGACACCCTATATATATGTGTGTTCACATTAGTTTGTATATGCATAAAACAATCTCTAGAAAGACTGTAAGTAATAAATGATAATAATAAATGATGGTTATTTATTTGCAGTGGGTGTGAAAACAGGTAGATGGGGGATAGGACTGGGAGATTTCCCACTATCTTATCTAATTTTGATTTTTTTTATGGTGGTAAAATACACATAAAATTTATCATTTTAACCATTTTTAAGTGTACAATTCAGTGGCATTACAATGCTGTGCAACCATAAACACTATCTAGTTCCAGAACTTTTTCTTCACCCCAAAAGGAAACTTCCCATTAAGCAGTCACTCCCCATCTTTCCCTCCTCCCCAACACCTGGGAACACTAATCTACTTTGTGTATTTTCTAGTCAGGCTATTTTATATAAATGGAATCATACAATATGTGGTCTTTTATGACTGGTTTTGTTCACTCAGCATAATGTTTTCAAGGTTCATTGATGTTGCAGCATGGTCAGTACTTCATTCCTTTTAATGGCCAAGTAATATTTCATTGTATGGATATACCATATTTTGTTTATCCATTCATCAGTTGATGGATATTGGGTTGTTTCTACCTTTTAGCTATTGCAAGTAGTACTGCTATGAACATTCATATACAAGTTTTTGTTTGAGCACCTATTTTCAGTTCTTTTAGGAATACACCTAGGAGCGAAACTGTCAGGTCATAGGGTAATTCTATGTTTTAACTTACTGAAGAATCACCAAACTGTTTTCCACAGTGGTTGTACCATTTTACGTTCCCACCAGCAACAATAAGAGTCCCATTTTTCTCTACATCCTCATCAATAGCCATCCTAGAGGATATGAAGTGGACCTCACTGTGGTTTTGCTTTGCATTTCCCTGACAAGTAATGGTGCTGAGCATCTTTTTTTTTTTTTTTTTTAATCCTCACCCAAGGATATCTTTTCTATTGCTTTTCAGAGAGAGTGGAAGGGAGAGAGAAACACTGATGTGAGAGAGAGATTGGTTACCTTCCACATGTGCCCCAACCAGGGTCGGGGATCAAGCCTGCAACCACAGTACGTGCCCTTGACCTGAATCAAACCCAAGACCCTTCAGTCCTTGGGCTGAAACTCTAACCACTGAGCAAACTGGCTAGGGCTTGAGCGTCTTTTTATGTGCTTGTTGGCCATTTGTCTATCTTCTTTATGGAACTATCTATTTAAATCCTTTTCCCATTTATTTTTATTTAATTTAAAAAATATACCTTCATTGATTTCAGAGAAAGGAAGAGAGAGGGGGAGAGGGAGAGATAGAAACATCAATGATGAGAGAGTCATTGATCAACTGCCTCCAGCGTGCACTCCCACTGGGGATCGAGCCCGAAACCTGGGCATGTGTCTGACCAGGAATCGAACAGTGATCTCCTGGATCATAGGTCGATGCTCTACCGCTGACCCATTCTGGTGTCTTTTAATGCACAGAACTTTTATGAAGCCCAATTTATCTATTTCTTGTTGTTGCTTGTGTTTTTTAAAAAAAATTGTTGCTTGTGCTTTTGATGTCATAGCTAAGAATTCATTGTCAAGTCCCAAATTATGAAGATTTACCCCTGTATTTTCTCCTAAGAGTTTATAGTTTAAGCATTTTTAGGCCTTTGATTCATTTTCAGTTAATTTTTGTATGTGTTGTGAGGCAGGAGTCCAACTTCATTATTTTACATGTGGATATCCAGTTATCACACACCATTTGTTGAAGATGATTTTTCCTTATTGAATGGTTTGGCATCTTTGTTGAAAGTCAGTTGGCCACAAATGGATGGGTTTACTTCTGGACTCCCGATTCTATTCCATGACTCTATGTGCCTGTCCTTGCACCAGCACCACATTGTCCCATGATGCTGGGAAGTGTGAGTGCTCCTACGCTGTTCTTTTTCAAGGTTGTTTTGGCTATTTATGCAACTCCATATGAATTTTAGAACCAGCTTTTCCATTTCTGTAAAAAAAAAAAGAGGCCTTTGGGATTTAACTTTTTGATTTTTGAAGCATGGTAACGGGTTGCCTATTCAAAATTTTCATTAATCAGTTTTTTAAAATCAGAAATTTAGCCCGGCCGGGTGAGGCTCAGCGGTTGAGCGTCGACCTAGGATCCAGGAGATTAGGGTTTGATTCCTGGTCAGGGCACATGCCCTGGTTGCGGGCTCGATCCCCAGTCAGGGGTATACAGGAGGCAGCCGATCAATGACTCTCTCATCATTGATGTTTCTATTTCTCTCTTTCCCTTTCCTTTTCTCTTTCTGAAATCAATAAAGATATATTTAAAAAATAAAAATAAAAATAAAATCAGAAATTTACCTGGCATTTCCTAGAAGTCATTCCAGGAATTACTCTGCCTTCAGGCTCTTTCTCCACTCTAGATTCCCTTTGTGAAAAGTAAAGAAAAAGTTTTACCACCCCCTGCTCTTCCTTCCTGTTATCCTAGACCTTTAGAAAGATTTCTTATGATCTAATCTTTACTCCTCTTGCTACGTCAAATACAGCTAACCTTCCCTCCTCTTCCACATACTCCTTCATCTTCTCTAGCTTGCTTTCTTCTCATTCCTACTCCCCAACTTTCCCCCTTATTTAGAGCCTCTGACCCTCTTCCCTTATATAGAATCCAAGATTATAAAAGCTACAAGAGCTGTCAGATTATTCAATGCCCTCACTTTACAGATGAGTGGAAACTCAGGCTCAGAGAGAAAGTCTGAACTTGCCACAGCCAGTGAGTGACCGAGGCAGGACCAGAATCTAGTCTGTTTCCCACTGTTTGGTTCTATTTCCACTATGGCCTGGAATCTTGGTGAAGAGAACTGAGTATAGACCTTAGTGCCTCCAGGCTCAGGCCCCAGACTCTTGGCTAGGCCATTTTGCCCACCCTGGCCTCTTGAAGTCTGCACACAAGAAGGATGGGTCTTCTCTAAGGTCCCTACCATGGCCTGATACTTGCTCCTTTCTGCCATTTTGAAGAAACTGCTGAATCCATAGAGGGAAGTGAAACTATGAGGGGAGATAAAGAGTTGGGGTAGAGTTTTGAAAGTGACAACCACAGGCTAAGTTTAGAGGACTGAGAACTTAAAAGGGTCCTCCCTAATGACCCATGTGTCCCTCTTTATGTCCTATTACAGACCATGGTGGCTTTGTCAATGGTTCTTGTTTTCCTGCTGGTTCTGAACAGAAGTGAGAGTGAATTGGACGCCAAGATCTCATCCCCAGGGAAGGCCACAGAATGGGGGGATCCTGATCTGTCCCTGCCAGGATCCTGCCAGCCAGCCCCTTCCTGCAAGAAGTGCATCCTTTCACATCCAAGCTGTGCATGGTGCAAACAACTGGTAAAAATGGGCCTGTGGCCTTTGAGCCATGTGTAGATGTATGTGCAGCCTGGATATATATCTATGATTCTGTAGGCACATGTGTCATTTTTCTGGGTGCACTCTGCAGTCCTGTGTGTGACTGTGTCTGTGCACATAGGACTCTTGTGTGTGATTGTGTGCGTGTGTGCACAAACACACATGCAAGATTCCTGTGCATGTACATTTATGTCTGTATTGTGTATTTGTGTATGTATGGACAAGACTTGTGACTATGAATTTGGAGGAAGTATGTTCTTGTTGGGACTCATGCTTGTGTATAGGTAGAGAGAGCTATTGTGCATGTACAGATGTGAGAAAGTGCCAGTTCGGGCTACCATAACAAAATACCATTGACTGGGTGGCTTAAACAACAGGAATTTATTTCTCTTAGTTCTGGAGGCTGGAAAGTCCAAGGCCTAGGTGTTCACAGATTTGGTTCCTGTTGAAATTTCTCTTCCTGGCTTTCAGATGGGCTGCAGATCAGCTCTCTTGTGTCTCTTCTTATAAGGGCACTAATCCCATTATGAGGGTTCTACCCTCATAGCCTCATCTAACCCTAATTTCTTCCCAGAGGCCCTATCTCCAAATACTAGCACACTGGGGGGTAACCAATGGCAGAAAGTGTGTGACTGGGTTTCTGAGTCGGTGTTGGGGGCCAGCAGGGGGTATGTTCCTAGGTATGTATCAGCCTGTGACTGGGAAGGTAGAAGGGAAGGAGTTGGAAACCTGTGGGTTTGGGTGGAAGGCATGAGTTACCTCAGTGGCCAAGGAGGATGTTGGGGAGCAGGTGTCTCTCTGGCTGGTCAATAAAGCTGTTCTTTGTTTATGCCTTAAAGAGACAGGGTTCATGGAGTGGCAGAGCATGAGGGGTTCCTGAGACGGGGTTGGGACAGAATACTCTCACAGAAAAAAGGAGAGTTAGATGAGATAAGAATTGAAGGCAAGCTCACTAGGAGGCAGAGCTATAGAGGCTGAGCAGGCCCAGGAGAAAGGCACATAGTGAATCTGAGATGACCGGAAAGACTCAGTTTGCAGGAGGCAGAGAGCAGAGGTGCTATGTGCGGGCTCTTGGGGCAGTTGGGTATATGTCTGCTTCCTCCAACCCCCAGACAAGAGGCTGGCACCCAGGCCAGCTGAGAAGCCACTCAAACCATTTCCTTCCTCTGCGGCTCCCCAGCCAGTCCCAGGGGTACTAGACATATTAGGGGATGGGGGTCTCCCCTTCTGTCCTAATCCTTTCCCCTTCCCGGGAACTGTGAGTCCATTTCCACCTGAGCAAGCAGGGAGGTTGGACTAGGAGGTGGGGCTCCTCCTTTTTCGGTGGTAGTGAGGTCCCTGAGATTCTCAACAGGAAGTCTGTGGCCCTAGGGGGAGGGGAAGGGTAGGTGACTGGGGAAAGGGGGGAGTTGAGATAAGGGAGGAAGTGGGTTCTGACAAGAAAGGCCCGGGGTTCAAGGATAGCTGTGGAAGGAATGGGAGGGGAGGGAATCAGAGGGGCTCAGGGAGTGGACAGAGAGGGGGGCTTAGAAGTGGCTGGTATTGCAGGCTGGGAGCCGGCCTTCCAGTTCTGAGGGGCGGGGTTAGGGTCCCAACGCACCTACCCTTGTGGTGCAGAACTTCACGGCATCAGGGGAGGCGGAGGAGCGGCGCTGTGCGCGGCGTGAAGAGCTGCTGGCTCGTGGCTGCCCCCCAGGAGAGCTGGAGGAGCCCCATGGCCGGCAGGAGGTGCTGCAGGACAAGCCGCTCAGCCAGGGCGCCAGGGGCGGAGGCGAGGGGGCCACCCAGCTGGCACCGCAGCAGGTGCGAATCACGCTGCGTCCTGGTGAGCTAGCAGGGGCAGGGTCGGGGCAGAGATCTGGGATTGGATCCAAACACGCCCTGCTGACCCCCATTGCCCCACCCCCAGGGGAGCCCCAGCAGCTCCGGGTCCGCTTCCTCCGTGCCCAGGGATACCCTGTGGACTTGTACTACCTTATGGACCTGAGCTACTCCATGAAGGACGACCTGGAGTTCGTGCGCCAGCTTGGGCATGCCCTGCTTGTGCGACTGCAGGAGGTCACCCATTCTGTGCGCATCGGTAAGCGCCGCCCCACCACCTGCCAGCCCTCTGCCTCTAACTTCAACCGCAGCCTCAGCCTCTGCCAACGTCCTGGACACACAACGGCCCCACCGGCCCTCTCCCAGTTTTTAACAGGCCACAGGTTGCTTATCTCTCTCCCCTAAAACACCCATCTTCTAGGTCAGAGCTGGAGGGGATTTAAGAGACTGTCCATTTCCAGGAAGGGTAACTGAGGTCCAGAGTCTGGAGAGGCTGTGTTCAGACAGCTCCCAGGGGTCAGGCAGTGCCCTGGACCTACCAACTAGGATACTGCCCTGATGCCACTGTCTCAGCCCTGTGTCTCTTGGATAAGGTCTAAATGTCACTGTTCCTGGCTGCACATTCTGTGCCCATCTATTCTCTGTTCATGATCCACTCCTTTGCCTCATGCTGCTACTACACCCTACAACTTGCCTTCTTCCTCAGCTTTCAGGAAACCCCTGCCTGACCCCTGTTGTGCCCTTTTCTTAATCTCCTCCATTCCCCCACTTCCCTGAGCTGGTGGACTCAGCCCTTTGCCCTGCCAGGTACTGGGTCCTTACCCTCTAGGAACACCTGGCTCCCATTATCTCCTCTAGGATCACCCCAGCCCTCCACCCCTCATGGACTCCTCCCTTCCTAGTCCTCAGCAGTGGCCCTTCCATGCTGCTGCTGCTGCTGTCCAGAGACTTCTGGCTCACCTTTCATGCCTCCCCCCACCCAGGCTTTGGCTCCTTCGTGGACAAAACGGTGCTGCCCTTTGTGAGCACAGTGCCCTCCAAGCTTCGCCACCCCTGCCCCACCCGGCTGGAGCGCTGCCAGCCACCCTTCAGCTTTCACCATGTGCTGTCCCTGACGGGGGATGCTAAGGCCTTCGAGCGAGAGGTGGGGCGCCAGAGTGTGTCTGGCAACCTGGACTCACCTGAAGGTGGCTTTGATGCCATTCTACAGGCTGCACTCTGCCAGGTGAGGAGGTGGGGCAGGGAACTGAATCTGAAGGACTATTTGGAGCCAAGACTGCTACCTATGGTTGTGCAGTACACAATTCCAGAGAGTTTCATTTGTATCACACTGGTCTGCAGATTTATTTTGACAATTTCCCAGTAAATTGGAGTAAAATATCTTGAGGAAGAGACATATTTTTCTAATTCACAAGAAGGCCTCCACTAGCAGCAACCCTGCCTAGGGGGCTAGGGAAAAGAAGCAGGGAGCTGGAGGCAGGGGTATAGACAAACCAACTCAGAATGAGGCTGGCCAAATCTTTGGCTCACATCGCTGGCTGGGGTGGCTCAAGGGCCATATCCAGGTGCACAGCCTACCCCACCCCCCACCCCAGGAACAGATTGGCTGGAGAAATGTGTCTCGGCTGCTGGTGTTCACTTCAGATGACACATTCCACACAGCTGGGGATGGAAAGTTGGGTGGCATTTTCATGCCCAGCGACGGGCACTGCCACTTGGACAGCAATGGCCTCTACAGTCGCAGCCCAGAGTTTGTGAGTCCCTCTCCTCCCCTAACCCCTTCCCATCTGAGCCACACCTCCTCTCCTCCCAGGACCCCCATCCCCAGCCTCATTCTCCTTACTGGTAACCAACCTGCTGTCTTCTCCAGCAGTTCCACCCCCACTGCTCAGGCTCCCTAGCCCCCCTCCCCCTTGCCGAGCCCCCAGGGTTCCTGGATTCCCTGGGCTGAGGGCACCCTGAGTGCTGTGGAGGACCTGTGGTACTCATCTTGTCTCCACTCCCTGCTCCAGGACTACCCCTCTGTGGGTCAGGTAGCCCAGGCTCTCTCTGCAGCAAACATCCAGCCCATTTTTGCTGTCACCAGTACCACACTGCCCGTCTACCAGGTGAGAGCTGTCTGGATGGCAGGCCCTCCTACCCTGAACCTTCCTCAAGTTCCTCAAAGATCCATTTTCCTCTCCCCCATATGCCCTCCTTCCAGACCCTCAGAAGCCCATTTCTCTGGAGTTGTGACCCATGATTTCTCTCAACTCCTCATAATTCAGGAGCTGAGTAAGCTGATTCCTAAGTCCGCAGTGGGGGAGCTGAGTGAGAACTCCAGCAATGTGGTACAGCTCATCATGGATGCTTATAATGTGAGGAGCCAGGGTGGGGGAGAATGGAGAGGGCAGGAACTGGGGCAAAGTGGGAAGGAGCCCTCAGGAGGGGTGGCAGAACTAAGAGGGAATAATCACTTTTTGAGTAACATTCCACATCTCCTACCTGCCGTTTGCATAGGGCTGTCTTAATAGTTCATTCACTCACTCGATCTTACATTCATAAATCTTAAGTGTCTGATTTGTGCAGAGGATGTAGCCCAGCTCTGGGCAAATAAGGAAAGTAATATTCATTGAGCTTTTATTACATGCCGAGCACTCTCCTAAGTGCACACACTGTTTGCTAACTCATTTAACCCCACAAAAACCCCTGCTTGGTAACTATTACCATCCCTATTTTATAGATGGGGACAAAGACACAAGGAGGCTAAGTGACTTGCCCAAGGTCGCCAGATAAAAGATAGAAAGGCTGGGATTTGTCCCTTAGTCAGTCCGTACATAAAGAATGTAGCCAGTCGGCCATGGCTCAGCGGTTGAGCATCGACCTAGGATTCAGATCACGGTTTGATTCCCGGTCAGGGCACAGGCTTGGGTTGCAGGCTCCTGCAGGGGGTAGCCAATCAATGACGACTCTCTCATCATTGATGTTTCTATCTCCCTCTCCCCTTCTCCCTTCCTCTCTCTGAAATCTATAAAGATATATTAAAAAAAAAAAGTAACATCTTGCCTTAGCTGGTTAGGCTCAGTGGTTAGAGTGTCAGCCCTCCGACTGAAGGGTCCCGGCTTTGATTCCGGCCAAGGGCACGTACCTCGGTTGTAGGCTCAATCACCGACCCTGGTTGGTTTGAGAGCGGGAGGCAACCAATCTATGTGTCTCTCTCACATCAATGTTTCTATCTCCCTCTCTGAACCCCTCTTTCACTTTCTCTGAAAAGCAATGGAAAAAATATCCTTGGGTGAGGATTTAAAAAAAGAATTTAACATGTAGCCTGCTTTCATTAAGCTTATAAACAATTCAGATGTTCTTCACAGGACCCATAGAATTTTACGGTAGAAGGAACAATAAAAATTCCTAAGTGTTTCTTGGGTTTAGGTCTTATCTCTATAATTAGACTGCAGGCTTCTTGAAGATAGGAACTATTTCCGAAAACCACATTGAGAAAATCTGAGATGGTATCAAATTTTCCAGGACAAAATCTGGGGGAATTGCCCTTTAGGCCTTGTATGTACACAGGTTATATGTCCTGATTATTTAAAAACACAGCCACTACATGTTTACAGCACCTGGCCAGCCCCTGACCCCCAGCAGGCCCTTGCTGCAGCTGCACTGAAATGCTGTTAGATCTCCCTGTACAACCCCTCATGATTCTCACAGGTCCTGCCTGCAGGAATGCCTCCAGAATAGGCAGAATGGAAAGAGCCCCAAGGTGGGCTGAGGGCAAGGTTCTGGCAGAATTTGGAATGGTTGGAGAGGGCATGAGGTGGGGTCAGAGTCTTGCCTTCATGTGTTTACTCATTCCCTTCCCACAGAGTCTGTCATCCACTGTGACCCTTGAACACTCTCCACTCCCTCTGGGGGTCCACATCTCTTACAAATCTCAGTGTGGAGGTCCTGGGAAGAATGATGGTGAGGCTGGGGACCGGGGCCAGTGCAACCATGTCCGAATCAACCAGACGGTAAGTGCCAGTTAAGATAAGTAGAAGGGGCCCTGGCTGAGTAGCTCAGTTGGTTAGAGCATTGGCCCAGATACGCCAAGGTTGCCGGTTCAATCCCCGGTGAGGGCACATAGAAGAATCAACTAGTAAATGCATAAATGGAACAACAAATTGATTTTCTAAAGATCAATTTAAAAAAAAAGGCAGAAGGAAGTGGGGGTAGGAGTAGGAAATTGAGGCAGGCAGGAAATGATGGGGGCAGGCACAGAGAATACTGCAAAAGCTTGGGGTAGTCCTCCATCCACCCTTTCAAAGGGGTTCAATGACTAACTTCCTCAAGCATATCTCTAGGAGATGGGTGTTAGCATGACCTTGTCCCTTAATTTATAAGGAGTTGGGCTCTGGACGAATAGGTTTGGTGTGTGTGCCCGTGTGCACACAGGTACACTCATGAGCTTAGTCTCATTTCTACCCATCCTATCCTCAGGTGAATTTTTTGGTTACTCTCCACGCTACCCGCTGCCTCCCAGAGCCCCATCTTCTGAAGTTCCGAGCTCTTGGCTTCTCAGAGGAGCTGACGGTGGAGTTGCACACACTGTGTGATTGTAATTGCAATGACACCCAGCTCCAAGCTCCCTACTGCAGTGATGGCCAGGGGCACCTACAATGTGGGGTGTGCAGGTGAGGGTCTCTAGCTTCCTTTTACCTATGTGGCTTTCCACAAATACAGCCCCTGTATTCCTCCTCCTTCACCTTCCATCCTTCCACTGGCATCTCTAGACAAGTTTTTCTTAGACATCCCTAGACTGCACCCTGATTTTCATCTCCTGAAGCTTCTCAGATATGCTGAAACCCTCCCCTCCACCAGAACTCCCTCTGCTCTTCTACTCCTTGGTACTTCACCATATTCCACATCCCTTCAGCCACTGTCCATCTCCAACTCTTGTAGACCTTGGGGTTAGAGGATACTGGGAAAGACAGATCAAGGGATGGTCAAACTCTCTGACCCACCTTCCCCTTCTTTTCCTTCCCCTCCCAGTTGTTCCCCAGGCCGCCTGGGTCGGCTCTGTGAGTGCTCTGAGGCTGAGCTGTCCTCCCCAGATCTGGAATCTGGGTGCCGGGGCCCAAATGGGACAGGGCCCCTGTGCAGTGGGAAGGGACGGTGCCAGTGTGGACGCTGCAGTTGCAGTGGACAGAGCTCTGGGCGCCTGTGCGAGTGTGATGATGCCAGCTGTGAGCGACATGAGGGCATCCTCTGTGGAGGTACCTGGGAACTTTTGGGAGAAGGGAGGGGTCAGAGTGGCTCTCCCAAGGGTATGAGGCTCTGGGACCTTCAAGGCACTAAGGGCAAATATCTGGTGTAGGAGTCAGGGCATGCATCTGACATACTTGAGAGGGAATTGCGTACACAGGAACAGGTAGCTCTAGGCTGTAATGTCCATTGTGTGTGAAGAATATGGTTGTCACCCTGTGCGACTCTGCTCCAGGATTCGGCCACTGCCAATGTGGAGTGTGTCACTGTCACGCCAACCGCACGGGCAGAGCATGCGAGTGCAGTGGGGACGTGGATGGCTGTGTCAGTCCTGGCGGAAGGCTCTGCAGTGGGCATGGACATTGCAAATGCAACCGCTGCCAGTGCTTGGATGGCTACTATGGTGCCCTATGTGATCAGTGCCCAGGCTGCAAGACACCATGCGAAAGACACAGGTGAGGCCTCGGGTCTTGCATTTTGGGAACAGGCAGTGGGGCTCACTAATCCACTGCCCCTGCCTGCGTTCCTGCATGTGGTGTGGGTGACAACTGCCCAGTTGGTAACTTACTGGCATTTACTGGACAGGGACTGTGCAGAGTGTGGGGCCTTTAAGACTGGTCCCCTGGCCACCAACTGCAGCATAGCTTGTGCCCATACCAACGTGACTCTGGCTTTGGCCCCTACCCTGGATGATGGCTGGTGCAAAGAGAGAACCCTGGACAACCAGCTGTTGTTCTTCCTGGTGGAGGATGAAGCCGGAGGCAGAGTCATACTGAGAGTGAGACCTCGAGAGAGTAAGTGGGAAGGGATGCCTTGGACATGCCAAATGGAGCCCTAGATGTTTGATGGGTAGAGCCTCAGAACTCAGGTTGGAGAGGTAAAGATAGAGGAACCAGGCTAGGGATTGAAGCAAAGCTGTGAATCCAGGCAAAAGCGGAGGTAATGGACCAGTGGAGAAGGCTAAGGAACTGGGCACTGAAGGTAACCCTGCTGGGTTCCTTTTGTTTTCAATGACAGGTAGGGCTGGGGAGGCTGAATGGGGCTGCACACACACTGGGCAACTGTTGATCAATCTGTGCCCCAGCCCCCAGAAGTCTTTCTGTTTCACCCCCATAGAGGGAGCAGACCACACCCAGGCCATAGTGCTAGGCTGCGTGGGGGGCATTGTGGCAGTGGGACTGGGGCTGGTCCTGGCTTACCGACTCTCAGTGGAAATCTATGACCGCCGAGAATACAGGCGCTTTGAGAAGGAACAGCAGCAGCTCAAATGGAAGCAGGTGAGGCTGCCTCTTAGTTCACTGGGCTGGGTTTTACTTGCTTTCTTTCCTTGGTTACGTCCTCTTGCTCCCTGCTTTCTCATTCCACCCTCAGCCCTGACTCCTCCCACTGAGGCCCCAACCCAGTCACCTAAGTGTATGCTGCCTGTCCCGCCTCTCCGCTACTTTCCATAGGCTCCTGGGGTCTGGCTCATTTTCTAGGTTGGCTCTTAGGACTAGCTAAAGGAGAAGTCCTGGGACTTTCCTCACCATTTCCAACTTCTTCCCACAGGACAGAAATCCTCTCTACAAAAGTGCCATCACGACCACCATCAACCCCCGCTTTCAAGCCACAGAAAGTCCCCTTCTCTGAAGGGGGTAGGGTTACTCACCCCAGGGTTGTTCTTGCTGAGAAGATGGTGAGAATTGGGGCTATGGGGTCTATCAGGCAGCAGCCTAGTAGGGGACTAATCACCACCTACTTCATTCTCAGAGTGATACCCACAAGGGCGGGCCTCCTGCTGCAACCTTTCTTCCCTACCTCATATGGAGTGGGGGTTACCCCACCCACATATACAATAAAGTGTCTTACTTCAGATTGCAGATGTCATTTGCTTTACCCCAAGGCCAAAGCAGGCTGTGAAGCCTGGGCTGCCTCTTGCCACCTAAGGGCAGGGAAAGGTTCTCAAACTTGAATGTGCTGGAGAGCCAATATGTGGCTGCCTGGGAAACATGGGGGGTGGGGGTGTGCTAGTGAATTAATTTCCAGGTAAGGCTAGAGGAGCACAGACCACACTTAAACAAACACTGTATATGCTGGTATCCAACCTCATTCTGTCTTGTTCTGCAGGTTTTTTTCTTAGTCAGAATTGATACTATATATGTATATATATACTGGATACCAATTTTAACTCTTCTTGTTGCTAGACCATGGAGAAGGGGAGTTTTAAAGTGGTGGTTTATAGGGTACTGGAAGTTGTAGGATGGTTATATTTGGGGGGAAAAAGGAAGACCATGTTGGCCCCAGTGAGAAAAATTCCCCAAAGGATATTCTTTTCAAAGATGAGATAGTATGTAGAAAAGCCCCATTTTCTTTTTATTTAAATATCCTAAATATATCACGAAGGAACATACACTGCACTTTAATGGTAAAAAGATACAAGTTTATAACATCTTATAAAAACTACCATTTAAAAGTGATCTTGTTCATTCGATATTCCCCCCCAATAGCAAAATAAGTATATTAAAAAAAAAAAAAAAAAAAG